ATCTGATTTTCAAAACTCATACCCAAAAATAAAACTCATATTTGAAGATCTTTGATCGAAGGGGGGATTGCCATATTTGTTTCAGGGGCTTTCATGTTTTTGCGACGATCGTAGCCTTAACTGGGGTTATAGTAGTCTTTTTTTTGTGACAGCTTTTCATATTTGGTCCTGATTTATTCGTGATATTTATTCTGTGATGCACATTTCCGAGATGTTCATTTCCGAGATGCCCATTTTCGAGATGTTCATTTCTAATATAAATTCTCGGGGTAAAGCTAATTTCGTTTTAGTCTTGATATATGAAAAATATTTATGTAGGGGAAAAGGGCGAAAAATCTTTATAATTTAACAGTATGACTAGCGAAATACCAGCAAGTCCTTCAGAAATTCATGCGGATGATACAGAGGTTTTTCAACTTAAAGCACTTTCGTTAAATTTCCTAAGAAACACTTCCGAAATAACTGATGAACATATCCCGAAACTTAATCCTTGCCACTTCTGCGATGAAGGAATTCTTGCCTTACCACTTCATTCATTCACAGTATTATCATATGGACATATATACCATCGAATATGTCTTAAAAAACATATTGTACGATCAGAAACCCGTTCTCCTTTATGTCCTATTCCTAGTTGTATATCACCTATCGAACTTGTTAACGAGGAACTTATACTAGCTTCTGGTGAATATCACATGGTATCTAAGGATAAGGATTTCAGGAAAAAAGGTCCCCTAAGTGATGATACTGTAGGAGGTGAATCGGAACTTTTGCATGACCTAGGATTAATAGACGATGATTCTCTTGCGAATCAAGGGGAAAAAATAATCAAAACTATTACGCATGATCAAACAACAAGTCTTACTATAGATGTGGAAAGTTCTACAGATAATTTAACTAATCAAACAGCTGGAGACAATACTGACAATGCACAAATTCGGTCATCAAGAGAATCATCTCCCAAAATTTCTCACGAATAGGACAAAGTACAAGGTTTGTTGCAAGAAT